AGTTAAGTCAAGTTCAGTCAAATGTCTATTTTGTGGTATTTGTGATAAAAATATTCATTTACTGTATTTAAAACGACTGAAAATATTTAGGTTTTAGTACAACTCGAAAGAGAGAAACAAGACTTTATTTCTTCTAATCTATTAGAAGATCCCATTCCTGAAGAAGATAATGAAGTGGAAGAGTCGGCATTCGATTAGTTATTCATATAATGTTTTTAATGACATTTATTACTACTTTATAATCATTAACCTTTTGATTTGACACTTCATTTATATTCAATTTTTCAATTCAGTCGAAATTCCATACATGAATCTCTATTACTATTAATACTACCGGTAGTTGTTTTAGTTACTACCGTAAACAGTTGCAACTTATAAGTAAACCATTTAGAAATCATTTGAATCTCGTGAATTTGATACAGTTACCACAATTACAGATACAGTATTTTATATCATCTATAAAAAGTACAAAAATTAGTTCAGGAATAGTCTCTCGAACGCAATCAAAGTATTTAGACTAACTGAAGGCTATGATAAGTGTTTGAATACAATGCTTACCATAAGTAGAAATAATGAATTAAAGTCATACCGGTATTATACAACAATTCTAACCAAAATTAATGTAATGCAATAATCGTAAAGTACATATAATTCATTTGTTTGATTGATATTAATATTTACGAACTACTTATTAGGGTAAACTAAATTATATTACCGTACTATAAATATACGGTCAATGGATTTCGACTGAGGATTATATCAAATGTTTTGTTCGTGTTTTTCAAAGTTGATTAAAAAGGCTCACAAATATATACATTATTTGACTTTAACTTACATTTTACACACCATTAGTTGTGCCAATCATTTGAAAGCCATTTCTAGTCAATAATGTTTTGTTAAATTGTTTCATATTTTAAAAGATAATGATTAGTCTTATATAAAAATTGCTTTCTAACCAAATATAAAAATTGAACTCAAAATGAATTAACAAATGATGATTTCAATAAGCAATGGACACATGGACTCAACTTTTAGAGTGAACTCATTTGTAAAGTAATTATAGAATTGTTTGTAAATTGAAATTAAATCTAATTTTAATAAATATTAAACAAAAAACAAAT